AAACCTAACATTATTGTATTCTATCCAAATATAATTAGTTGTTAGGGCACGAAGCTTGTTAAGGGATTGTGGTAGAAAACAATTATAGATTAAAGGCCCTTTGTATTGCATGTAGGGCAACAACTGGGTTCAAATCGATATAGAATTTGATACTTTTGTGAATTGTTCCATGAAGTTGCAAGGGATTAACCCTCACTTTGTTTCACACTTTCAAAAGTCACAAATGTGATTTCGTGCATGTTATTGGTTGCAAACCGACCTTAACATTTTTCCGATAATATATAATATCAATTGAATTGTATGGTTGATCCATTCAACATGGTGAGAAAGACTTAACACAAGACTTCTCAATTATTTATATACAAATTGGCTTGTACTTGATATATTGTCAAATGCTAATTTGAGTTTGTTGAATCATCATAATCATGGTATCAAAACCGGACTGAACCGGCCAGTTTAACTGATTGGATCGGGAACCGGTCCGGAGCTCCCTAAAAACTAGACGAACAATGAACCGGTCAAAAAATCGGATAAATCGATGAAACCGGATGAATCAAGGGGTCACTCATTTTTTTTAAAAGGGATAAATGACGTTGTTTTGTCCTTTTTCTTTCTTTCTTTATTTTAACACAGAGACACACAAACGTGAAGAGAGAAAATTTTTTGTAATGATGGTGATATTATTCTTTCACCGCACTCTTTGTCCTTACAACTGTCACTTCCACCCATTACCTTTGATTGTCTCCTTCCGATGTCACCCTTGTTGTTGTCACGACCTACTATTATCATCACTACAATCATTCATGGAAACACAATAACATGTAAGAATCACAATCTCTTTATTTCAAAAATTAATTTGATAAAACAATTTTGGAGACGACACACTGTAAAGGAATAATATTTTTGGAGGAATTTTCAACGCATATTTCATGAAACTAAATTTTGGATTTTCTAAAATTAGAGTTTTTTTAAAATTAGGGTTTTCTAAAATTCGATGCTAGGAGTAAAATTGATATTGATGAGCGGGTAGTGGGCTAAGTGCAGTGAGTTATCTTTGGGTTCCATAACCATGTCTTGAAATAAAATAAAATGTATAAAATTTAAAGTTAGATGCAATGGAAGTTATGGTGCAATTTTTTCTCTATTTATTTTCAAGTTAGTTGTAATTTCTTTTTCCCTAATTATTTTCAAGTGTTTTATGATATATTTATTCATGTTACTTTTCATCTATGTATTACATAAATCATTCTTATTATTATATAATAATTTTTCAAATAACATTTATATTGGATTGAAATTGTTATTATGGTGTGATAAACTTATTTTAAGTTTAATATATTATTATATTATCAAAATATATTATTTTATTAAACTTTGTTCAACTTCGATTTCATTCTTGATTGAACCTTTGAACCCTTACGTTCACTAGTTTGATGACTAGTCCGGTTTTACGAACCATGATGGTAATTTTCTAATACAAGTGGTTTCTAGTTGGTTGGGAGATGAGTTTGCATAATTCCTGGGATGAATGAATGATCGTTATCTTGTTGCATATTTCAATTCTCAAGGTATGTTGTGAGTTGGCTTCAATAATTAGTTATCGATGAGAGTCCCGAGATGGGGTTCAAGTGTTGCTTTGTTAGTGTACTCTTGTTTAGAGTTATCCCTTGAATGGTTCCTTATGACTTAGTGGTTTTGGATTATGTTTGAAGGGATTTCTGAATTTGTGATTGGGTTGATTCTTTGCCTTTTGTTCTGATATTTGGATTGTCGTGCATGTTTATTTGGTTGGTGCTAGTGATTGCTAAGTTCGTGCTTGACCCAATATAACAATAGCCTCTAACTAGAAACTCAATCAACGTGATTGGGACCATTTATTGAGAACCTTCAACTCGCTTTGTAGAGTTTGGAGCTCGACCTGGTACTAGTTTCAAACCAACTCCAGATATTTAGCCATTTTTTGCTGAATTTGCATAAGTTTAACATTGTTCTGTTGTTGTATGCTTTTTATTTCTTCATGATTCTTTTGCTGAAACCCGTCCATATGTTTGTAGGATCCATCTTGTTGTTTAAATTTGAAACTACCTGACTTTGAGTTAAAACTATGGCCTTCATCTCCAAAAACAAAATGGCATTTCTCCTTGGACAATCTTGGTCCTTCAGTCAAAGAACCTCTTTACCCTGCATGGGAGATATGTAACATTCCCATCATGTCTTGGTTTGAATTCGTTTTCCCCCTCCATTTCCTGAAGTGTCATCTTTTTTAATATGCTACTAACCTTAGAATAACCTTCATGAACATTTTTCATAGGGTGATCTTCTTCACATTGCAGAGCCCCAAGAAGAAATATATAGCCTTTCTCAAGGTAATCACCTTGTCTCTAAATTTTACCTTGCCTCTTGGAGGAATTAGATAATTATTGTCCTTTTGTTATCTGTTCTTGTGAGGCCAAGAAATACACTAGCAAGATGCTAACCTTGATTTAACAACCCAAAACTGATTTTGATGTTACGGGGAACAACCTTGTCCAACCCAAAAGTGTCAATCTCATTCAAGTCCCTTTTAATCAAATAAATGGTTCTGACTCTAATGGTATATCATTTGTTTTCTAGAACACTACACACAATACTTCTTCCACCACCCGTAAACATAGTGTGCCCTGGATTATAGATTCAAGAGCCATAAAGCATATTGTATTTATTAGAAAAACGTGAATGACTAAACACGCCCAAGAGGGGGTGAATTGGGTTTGTAAAATCTTTTTGAAATCTAATCAATTATTTGAATCTTTTTTCTAATAATCAAATTGAAAAATAATTTTGAAATGTTTTAAAGTTTCAAGAATACCAAGATAAAGAGAAAAAAAACAAGAGAGCATAAGAATTTTATACTAATTCAATTCCTTTGAATCTATATCTAGTTATTCAAGCAACCTTAACTTAAATTTTCACTATAATTTTTCGGTAACCAGATTACAACATAACCTACAGATCTTGAAAAATAACACACTTTAATCAAGATCTAAGAAAAACCACTAACACTTGATAATGCTAACCACACAATTTTCAAGTTGTCTTGATATTGTTCACCTCACAAATATAAATATACAACAAAAATTCACAAAAAGAAAAGACAAGAACGTATTCACCTGACACTTTGAAATACAAATCTCATAACCAAACAATTTCACCTTTGAATTTGATTTTCTCAAAACGTTGCCTTGATGCCCACTAAAACTTTCATTTTACAATGCTTTGATAGTTTCTCGAGATGTATTTAATTGATGAAAGTTTTCATCCTTTTATAGATTTGAAAATTGTTACAACTGATTTAGATAATCGATTAACAAAACATCTAATCGATTATTTGCATGCAGTGACAGATTGAAAATAAGTCATATAATCAATTAAGTATCAACATAATTGATTATTAGCATGTGATGTTAAAGTAGAGATGGTCACATAATCAATTAAGTGACAATATAATCAATTATTAGCGCATAGTATAAAAATATGAATTTAAGTCATATAATCGATTAAGTACTTATCTAATTGATTAATACATATTTAATTGATTAAGTTTTAATATAATTGATGAGTTGTTTTAACTTTTTACCTTTTTTATTTTAAACAAGGATTAAATCATTTGGCTTTAACAATAACTACTCACACAACTACCTAACTATCTATTAGGACATCATCAAGAATGAATCTTCAACCATTCTTCATTAACAACATCTCTTTAAAATGTTTTTCAAGTTATTCTAAAATATATCTTATTCAAATTAATTTGCCAAATAAATCCACTATCATTGCTTATATTTTTGGAACATTTATCTTTTCTCCAAATTTCATTCTTCATGATGTCCTCTTTGTTCCTTAATTTCATTTCAATCTCTTGTCTATATCTAAGTTGCTTAAGAATCGTAAATTTACTCTTATCTTTGATGATTTCTCTTGCACTATACAAGACAAGCATTCATTATAGATGATTGGTTTGGCTAATCTAGAGCAAAGTCTTTACCATTTAAACATCAATAAAGAAGCCAAAGTCCCTCAACCAAAAACAATCTCCATCAATAATAACACAATCCACAACATCTCTTCTTCTAACCTTTGTCATTTTAGATTAGGCACCTTTTCGGAAATCGTTTAAATAAATTACATCAACAATTTCTTTTTATTCCAAGTTATGTTAATAAGAATTGTGACATTTGTCACTTTGCTAAATAAAAAAAATTGCCTTTATAATCTTCGTACTAGCAAAGCTTTAAAGATCTTTTATTTAGTCCATATGGACATTTGGGGTCCTTTTTCCAAAGCTTTGATTCAAGATGAAAAATATTTTTTGACCATTGTAGATGATTTTAGTAAATATACATAGGTAGTGTTATTAAAGTCAAAATCTAAAGTTAAATACATGTCCAAAACTTTATTACTTTAATAGAAAATCAATTTTATTCTAAAATAAAGTGCATTCATTTAGATAATGGACCCGAATTTTGTTTGAAAGATTTATTTACCACAAAGGATATCATTCATCACACTAGTTGTATTTACACCACTCAACACAATAGGCGTATAGAAAGAAAACATCAACACATTCTTAACGTTGCATATAATGTTATGTTCCAATCTTAATTACTTGAATATTTGTGGTCTGATGCCATAAAACATTCAGTCTTCCTTATTAACAGAATACTTTATCCAGTCATTAATAAACAAACATCTTATAAACTTTTACAAAATCATAAACAAGATTTTTCAATGCTTAAAGTATTTGAGTCTATATGTTATTCTTCAACATATGGACCTCATAAAAAATTTGATCCTTGATACCTATCTAGATTTACCATTACCATTGAAACTTCCCTTGATATCTCTACATCAACATTTACCATCACCATTGTCGCCTTCCTGGATATCTCCCTATCCAGATTTACCATCATCGTTGAAGCATCCCACAATGTCTCCACATAGAAACTTACATCATTGAATCTTCACTCAATATCTCCCCATCCAAATTTACCATCACCATTGAAGCTTCTCTCAATACCTTCATATCCAAATTTACCATCATCGTCGAAGCTTCCTTTGATGTCTCCACATTGACACTTACCATCACCATCGAAGCTTCCCTCAATACCTCTACATCCAGATTTTACCATCACCATCAAAAATTCCTTTGATGTCTCCACTTCGACATTTATCATCACAATCAAAGCATCTTTTGCACCATAGCCCCACTTCAATACCTACTCCCTTTGTCTTGAGATGCTTTTCTCAACCCATCAAACCCAATGTTTGCCTTGCAAACTATATTTTTAGCATCAAGAGGAAGGCAAATCAATCATCATCAATATGTTTGTATCCTCTCCAATTTGTTCTATATTATTATAACATCTCTGAGATTTAACCTTGAAGTTATCAAGAAGCAGTTTTGAGTCCCTGTTGGATTGAAGCCATGAAAGATGAAATTGAGGCTTTAAAATTTAAAAACAACTGGGAAATTGTTGATACTTAAGTCGATATTAAGCCCATAGGATGCAAATGGGTCTACAAAATTAAGAGAAAACCAGATGGAAGTGTGGAATAGTACAAAGTGTGATTAGTTGTAAAGGATTTTTCTCAAGTGGATGAAATTGATTTATTTGAAACCTTCTCTCCCATGATAAAAATTGCCACTTTCCATGTTATCCTCATTCTTTCTTTTACAAATAAATGACAACTTCAATAACTCGACGTGAATAATGCTTTCCTCCACGGAAATTTGTTTGAAGATGTTTATATGTCAATTCCTCAAGGATTGTGAGGCCATGGCTCTTCCTAAAGTTGCCAACTAAAAAATCTCTATATGATCTCAAACAAGCTAGCCGTAAATGGTATGTAAAGCTTCCTAATCTACTTATTTCATCTAGTTAAACAATCACATGCACATCATAGTTTATTTATTAAACACAACAAAGATGAGTTTACATCTTTATTAATCTATGTGGATGACATCATTTTAACTAGGAACTCTGCTGATGAAGTGGCCCAAATCAAACATGTTCTTCATTCGAATTTTTGAATTAAGGATTTAGGAGCATTGAAATACTTTCTAGGCCTAGAAATAACCCACTCTACTAATGACATATATGTTTCACAACATAAATACTATCTTGAGTTGCTTACTGATTCTAGAATGTTAGGCTGCAAACCTTATTCCACGCTTATGGACAACTCATTGCGGCTGCGAAAAGATGATTCTAATGATCTTCTTAATGATACTTTATCCTACAAGCATCTTGTTAATCATCTAATTTACCTCACCAGAACCCGTCCTGACATTTTTTTGCAACCCAACAACTTAGCCAATTTATGGCTCATCCTACAAAGTCTTATCTAGGTGTTGCAAGGAAAGTTCTTAAAATACTTGGAGGGTTCTCCAAGCAAAGGTCTTCAATTCAAGAGGGACACTCCTATACATTTAGTTGTCTTTAATGATGCAGATTAGGCAACTTATGTTGACACATGTAGAGCAATAATAGGTTATTGCCTCTTTATTGAAAAATCTCTAGTATCATGGAAAACAAAAAAGCAAAATATAGTATCTCCAAGCAAAGGTCTTCAATTCAAGAGGGACACTCTTATACATTTAGTTGTCTTCAACGATGCAGATTAAGAGACTTGTGCTGACACATGCAAATCAATCATAGGTTATTACTTCTTTATTGAAAACTCTCTAGTATCATGGAAAACAAAAAAGCAAAATATAGTGTCTTGTTCATCTTCAGAAGCAGAGTATCATGCTCTTACTACAAGTACATGTGAACTATAGTGGCTTACATATCCTCTTAATGATTTAAAAATATGTTGTTCCGAACCTACATCATTATATATAGACAACCAAAGTGCATTGTACATTGCATCAAATTTAGTGTTTTATGAGAAAACAAAACACTTGGAAACTGACTATCATCTTGTTTGGGAAAAGGCTCAAGCAGATCTAAAGCGGTTACTGGCAGATCCATCCTCTCATTGGCTTGCTGACATGTTCACAAAGATACTACCACCTCGTCTCTTCAAATATAATGTATCCAAGATGGAGTTAATTGTTCTTTATACACATCCAGCTTGAGGGAGGCTAACAAAGAAATAACTCAAACTAGTACAATCTCAGCCCATTATAGCTCTTGTAAATATCTCTCTATGTAAATATTTTCTATTCTGATTCTAAAGTAGATTTTAAAATAGTATGAGTTGTAATTTGTTAGGCAAAAATGTGTATATAATATTGTATGTGTTTGTTGATGTTGAAATATGATGTTTTTCTATGTTTCCTTAGACTAGGGTTAAGGGTTTGGGCCGAGGCCCATATCCTCTCTATTGTGTCTTTTTTTTTTACCTATAAATACAATGTAACAGTGTCTTTCGACATTGTATTAGAAATCTTAAATAAGTTTCTCAAGATGGTATCAGAGCGGGTACGATCCTGCAATGATTTCCTGTCATTCTTGTTATCTCCGGTCGTCATCCGTCACCGGCCACCGTGTCAATTTGATTAAGTGAAGTTAGGGTTTGGTGCACCTCGAAGAGCGTAACTCACTCCTGCAAGTCGCTCCTCCGTCAGCTGCCTCATTTGTTTGGTTAGGGTTATCTTTCATCTCTGTTTCAGATAAATGGCTTCATCTAGTACTTTTTCTTTTTCTTCTACTATGAAAGGTCATCCTCAATGTTCCTATTGCAAGAAGATGGGTGGGACACACGCAAGAAAACTGTTATTCCTTACACAGTTTTCCTGCCAAGAATATCACTTTCCATGTTTCTAAGTCTGAAAAACCAGATTTGAAAATCTCTTATAAGGAGTATCAAGAGTTTTTGAAGTTCAAATCATGAAAATTAAACAGTTAGGGTCAATCTTCTTTCATGTCTAGTGTTTTAACAACATGCATTTCTCAATCTGTGGAAGGTCAAAACTTATGTATTCTTGATTCAGGTGCCTCTGATCATATATCTGGATAGTTCCTCATTTTCCTCCATGTCCTATCCTAAAATTTCTCACCTAATTTTTGTGGCTAATGGATCTAAAGTAAAATCACAAGGAATTGGCCATGTTTCTTTAAACACTTCTTTGAATTTAAATTCTGTTTTTTTCATTCCTAATTGCCCTTATAACTTGATTTCTCTTAGTCAATTAACTCGTTCTCTGAATTGTTCTGTAACATTTAATTTCAATTATTTTGTTATTTAGGAACATGGTACAGGTCATCTGATTGGAGAAGGTCATGAATCACGTGGTCTGTATTATCTAAATTCAAGTCCTTCGATGTCATGTCTTGCTTTTCCTTCTCCTAAACTTTTGCATGATCATCTGGGTCACCTAAGTTTACCAAATTTGAAAGTAATGACTCCTAATCTCAAACATCTTCTTTGTTTAGAATGTGAATCTTGTCAATTAGGAGAGCATGATAGGTCTATCTTTCCTAAACACTCGGAAACTTCATGTAATTTTCCTTTCTCAAATATTCATTATGATATTTGGGGACCGAGTCGTGTCTCTTCATTTGGCTTTCGATATTTTGTAACCTTTATTGATGAATTTTCTTATATACTTGGGTTTATTTAATGAAAGACAGATATGAAATTTTGTCCATTTTTGTGTCATTCTTCAATGAAATTAAAAATCAATTTAGGAAGATAATTAAAGTTCTTAGAAGTGATAATGTCAAAGAATATTTTTTAGCCTCCTTCTCTTCTTTTTTATCTTCCCAAGGCATTTTACATCAGTTAACTTGCTCTCACACTCCACAATAAAATGGCATTGCAAAAAGGATAAATAGACATCTTATTGAGACTACACGCTCTCTAATATTGAATGTCAATGTTCCTGTTCATCATTAGGGAGATGTAGTTCTCACTGCTTATCTTCTAATCAACTGTATGTCATCTTCTTCTCTTCAAAATCAAATTCCTCATTCCCTTATCTTTCTAGATGATCCTCTTTATCAGGGGTCTCCTCGTGTATTTGGTTGTACCTGTTTTGTCCATAATGTCTCTCAAAGTCTGGATAAGTTAGGTGCTAAAGCCATTAAATGTGTCTTCTTAGGGTACTCTCGCCTCCAAAAAGGGTACAAGTATTATTCTCCATCCACTAAAAGGTATTACATGTCTATTAATGTCACCTTCTTTGAGGAAACACCCTTCTTTTCCTCCTCCATGGAAGATGATTCCTCTATTCAAAATGTTCTTCCTATACCCTCATGTGATCCATTTATAATACTTGATCCTTCACCAATTCAACTTACAGGTCTTAATGATTCTCCTCCTCTTCTTATACCTTCATGTGATCCACTTACATGTTTACCAAATTTTGCAGATAATCGTGATTCAAAACCTTCTCCATCAGATTCTCATACCATGGATCTTTTAACCTCCTCTCCCACTTCTGATTCTGGATTGTCTATTGCACTAAGAAAAGGTATTCGTTCTTTTCAGAATCTATTTCCTATTTATATTTTTAAGTTACCATCGTTTGTCTCCTTCCTATTCCTCTTTTGTTGTCTCTTTGGCTGACACCACTATTCCTAATACTGTCCATGAGGCTCTTAATTACCATGGATGATAACAAGCCATGATTGATGAAATACAGGCTCTTGAGCACAATGCCACTTGGGAGCTTGTCCCTCTTCCTCTTAGCAAAAATGTTGTGGGTTGTAGGTGGGTCTATGCAGTTAAAGTTGATAATAATGGTAAAGTGGATCGTCTTAAAGCTCGTTTAGTAGCTAAAGGGTATATTTAAATTTATGGTCTCGACTACTGTGATACCTTCTCTCCAGTAGCTAAGATTTCCATTATTCGTCTTTTCCTTGCTATGGTTGGGATTCGTCATTGGCCACCAACTGGACAATAAAAATGTCTTTCTTCATGGTGACCTTGAGGAAGAGATTTATATGGAGCAACCTCCTGACTTTGTTGCTCAATGGGAGTCTGGTTTAGTGTGCAAGCTACACCGATCTCTTTATGGTTTGAATTAGTTATCTTGAGCTTGGTTTGGGAAGTTCAGTCATGTTGTACAGTTGTTTGGCTTGAAAAGGAGTGAAGTAGATCACTCAATGTTTTATTGTCATTCCTCTTCAGGCAAGTGTGTGTATCGTATGGTTTATGTTGATGATATTGTTATTACAGACAATGATTATACTAAGATATGCCAATAGAAGAATAATCTATTTTCTCATTTCCAAACCAAAGACCTTGGTCAATTGATGTATTTCCTTGGTATTGAAGTGGCTCAGTCAAAGGAAGGTGTGGTAATCTCTCAGAGGAAGTATGTCCTTGATATTTTGAAAGAGACATGTTTAACAAATTGTAAACCCATTGATACCCAAATGGATCCTAATCAGAAATTGATGGGAGATAAAGGAGAAAAGTTGTCAAATCCAGAAAGATAGAGGAGGTTGGTTGGTAAACTCATCGATCTTACTATTATCCGACCTGATCTTTCTTATGTAGTTGGAGTAGTTAGCAAATTTATGCAAAATCTTTGTATTGATCATTGGGATGCCTTGATTTGCATTCTGAGATATATTAAAGGGGGTCCAAGACAAGGATTGTTATATGAAGATAAAGGTAATACCCAAATTCTAGGTTATTGTGATGCAAATTGGGCTGGTTGTCCCGTTGATAGAAGATCTATTATTAGGTATTATTTCTTTATTGGAGGGAATTTGATTTCTTGGAAGAGTAAAAAATAAAGTGTTGTTGCTTGATCTAGTGCAGAAACTGAGTATATATCTATGACACTTGTTACATGTGAACTTGTGTGGATCAAACAAATCCTTCAAGAATTAAATTTTTATGATAATGTGCAAATGAAGTTGTTTTGTGATAATTAGGCAGCTCTCCAACCCAGTCTTTCATAAAAGAACAAAACATATCGAGATTGATTGTCATTTTATTAGAGAAAAGTTAATGTCTTAGGAACTTGTAAGTGTATTTGTAAGCTCCAATGAGCAACTAACAAACATTTTAACTAAATCTTTGAGAGGTCCTAGGATTCAATTTATTTATTCCAAGTTTGGTGCATACAATCTATATGCTCCACTTAGACTAAAGTTAAGAGTTTGGGTCGAGACTCATATTCTCTCTATTGTATCTTTTTATTTATTTATAAATATCATGAAATAATGTCTTTTGACACTGTATTGAAAACTCTAAATAAGTTTCTCAAGTATTGAAATGAATATATGAATTTTATTCTCAAATCTTTACCTTAATGTTCATATTATCTTCATTTTTGTCTTTATTTGTTTTTTACCAAGATTTTACCATAAATGTAATTTTAAAGAGATGGGAGAGTTAAAACTTATGAGATTACTTTTATAAAAGGATAATAAAAACTAAAAATTATTTCAACATTTTATTCACCTATTTCAAAAATTTTAATTCATCAATTTAAAAGTTTTTAAAAATCTTCCAACTATTAAATCAATGAATTTTTCGAATTTACCTATTCAAAATTTTAGAAAACATATTATATATATATATATATATATATATATATATATATATATCTAAATTATTTTATTTAAAACTTAAAAAATATTATACATTATAAATTCATTAATCAATAAATTGATACATTGCAGATACAAGCTTAATATTTTTTATATATGGGATAGAAGAAAAAATTATGGAATGAAGAAAGAGCTTTTCTTCTACCCATATTATCTTTTAATTATTTATTTATAAAGTTGATAAAATTTTATGTTTGTCAATAATCATAAAGATTTATAATTAATTGCAGCTTGTTAAAAGTAAAATTAGATAAATCTACTTTAATTATACTAGATATATATATATATATATATATATATATATATATATATATATATATATATATATATATATATATATATATATATATATATATATATATATATATATATATATATATATATATATATACTAACCCAAATCGAATTAATTTTAATTTTTTTTTCTGCTTCTTATTTGTTTTCGAAACCCTTCTCAAGAGACCCAAACTTACCCAACCGCCTTCCGTCACCAACCAACACTGCGCCACCGTTAGGTTTCCATCTAAACCTTCTCCAATGTTGCTCTGATCAATCCCAGTTATTGTGCTTGTTATTGGCTCTTGCTCAAGGATTCCTTCGTGTGGAACATTCTGGTTTTTTAGGTGAGTTCGTCCATTCGTGGTGTTTTCCTTAAAGGTTAGGCATTTTGCGTTTGGTTTTTCCTTTACGATTTGGTATTTTGATTCATAATCTGGCCGATTGATTAATGTACAGAGTCATTCTCATCTAATCAAAGTTTTGTTTTTCTTTAACCAAGTCTCCGTTTGTAAATATATGCTTGACAGAAGTAAATCTCTAATAGCTTTCTGAACATGAATATGTTTGTTTGTGGAAAGTAATTAATTGATATTTAACAAAAGCAAGAGTGTTTATGTGGGAGCTAATATGCTTGGGTAGGGAATCATGGAGATGCTAATTAAGGATTGATAGCAACAAGCTCAAACAGTATGCAATTTCTGATGTGTGAGGAAGGTATTAGTCTATCTGTTGTGCGTAGAGAAGGTGCTGGAAGGCTTGCAAAGGAACTTGGGTTAGATGTTATGATAGGGTACATTAAGAGCATATGGTTATTAGTTTTGTATTTGAAACTTATGCCATGGTTTTGACTACTTTGCTTTTAGTTTATAGGATCAGGTCCTATGGGTAATTAGCCTTGAACTTTGAGTTTAGGTTATATTTGTGCATCAGTTTTCAAATGTTGATGTAGGATATCATGCTTGGGAAGGGTTCCTAATTTTTTCTGTTTTGACAATTGATGCTTTCTGTAATAGGGTTCAAGTACCTCTGTTTTCTTGTCTTTCTTTAATATATTATGTCTTTGCTAAAAAAGTTGAGCAATTTGGGGACTGACTCATTTTTTATAAAAACTGTATGTAGAAATCACTTTCATAAATAACATGGGCAGAAATCACTGTCATAATAAATAAAGTTGTCTTGGAGTGTCTTGTCAAAACAGGGATAGTAGAAGGCAGTGCTTAGTGCAGTTAGTGTTGACTACTGCCTTCAATACCTTTCATTATGAGCTGCGCTCTCAGTTCATGGTGGGATATTGTTTCCCATTTCCAGAAGACTGAGTGGCTATCAAATAAACAAATACTGTTAAGACATTCAAGATTAATGGAACATACTAAGTCACACCTAGGTTTGATTCAAACTGGAATTAAAAAATATAAAGCCTATGGCAAAATGCTCTTCAATGCAGTGTTTCAAACATCTTGACACAGCATGAATGCACTTCGTTTTGATAGACTGGACTGGGTTCTCATAGTCTGTTTCCATCCTCCTTACACACTAAATATTGTTTGGATATTTTATTATAACTAGTTGGCTCAAGTCATTATCTGTTTGTTTCTACAAACCTATTAAGCACTTTGTTTTCTCTCTATCTGTGTTGTCCCGTTTATTATATCACTTTGTAACTGTGACAGGCCTAATTGTTTTTGTTAAATAGCTAACTTAATCATTTGGTACGTGTGGCATTCAATTTGAAGCATATTATCATGTCAATTAGAGTTCTTAATTGAGGACAATTTATGTCTTGACTTGAATGATATTCAACACATATGGTTCATTAGAATATATGTTGTAGTCCTCTAAAAGATTATATGAAGGGACTGATTAGGTTTTACTGTGTAAAAAGTTGGCATAGCTACAACAACACAATATTAAGACTATAAATTCAACAATTGAAAATTTGAATATGAAGGGTTGTCACTGAAACTAAAAATGCATTTCTCTTAATAGGTCACATTTAAATAACAAATGCTAACACAGGTTTATAAAACAGACAAGACTTAAAGAGAATTTCAATATTCTAGAATTCTTATACATTAGGATCAAATTGATCTTACCAAACTGACTCTATTAATTTGAATAAAACAATAAAAAGAAATTTAATTGAACGTAAACTTTACTTAATTACTCATTACTATATCCATAATTTGCATTGGAAACCTTCAAATAACAATAAACTTTACTCATCTCTATATGGCTCTGACGATCTGGCTCATCCAAGAAGGGTGAGGAGGAGGGATAGGGGGTCTAGGTGTCATCCTAGATAATGAGAAATAAAAAATTGGACCAGGTATAACTCAAATTTTCTTAAACCATCACACAAACAACAAATTTCTAGTCAAGCAAACACAGAACTACCATAGCAAACCCACTTCCCTCAGGTCCATCTAAGACAACCTGCGTTGATACCATAAATGTAGTAGTCCCAAAATATACCTACCATAGATATATAACTTTATCTTCCTCTTGAATGCTTTCATTCCTAACAACCAAGGTGTTCAAAAGCAGTTGCATAGGAAGGATTGATGATCCAATCCTTTATTTGTGTCTCTAAAAATTGCATTTTCTACTTTCATGGGAAAATTTAAATACATATTTGTGTCATGATCTAGAATTAGTGTCTAGAGTTGTATCTTCTCCAAGATTTCACTCCCATAGGCCCAATGAGGATCTTAGTAAATGGGAGTAATTTTATTTAATTAGGACTGACGATATGAGAATCAGCCCAACAATTTCTTTGCTAACACCAAAAATAATATGACCACATGAACAGTTCAAGCTTTCTCGTATTCATAATACATACACACACAAAAACAAGGTAGCATACACCTTACTGCAATTGATAAAATGGTGAGAACCTCCAAGATATGCTTTCTTGCAAAAACCAACATTTTAAATTTATTCTACTCTATTAATTATTTCAACTTAATGTGAATTGCTTCGCTTGCATGCATTCTGAGGCCAAGAAATGCATTCACATTGAAGCCATATTTTATTCATTGTCAAGCAGGAAAAAGCCTATATTATGTTACACACCTTTCATTTTCTTTGCTTTGTGTATTTTGATGATTTGAGAGTTGTGGCATCATACTTCTACTCTATGTGCTTTAGCTGGTTCTCAATGTACATTTTAATTGATGTTTTGGCATTGAAGCTTCTACAGGTGTTAGAGTGCATTAGCTAGCTAAAAAGTAAGATGTCAGCTGGGCCTGGACTTGAGTCTCTTGTAGATCGTAAGCCATCTATAAATATTTATGTTTTGCTTTGATGTTTTATATTCAATACATAGTTACATTATTTACTGTGCTTATTAGTGACCATTATTTATGCTAAGAAGCATTGGAAACTAGTTCTCCATCAAAATTTGTTTCCATTATCTGTGAGATATGCTTTAAACCATTCTAGTAGTTGTTATCCTTCCCTGAATCTTTTGGATTTTGACAGAGACAATTTCAGTTATTACAAATGATGGACGGAATATAGTGGTAAGCTTTTGTATATGAAGAAAATTAGCTTTTGACTGTGTTAATAAGTGTCATTGCTCAAACTTCTAATTACTATGCCTTTTTGTTCAGGGAGTCCTGAAAGGTTTTGACCAAGCAACAAATATAATTCTTGACGAGTCCCATGAACGAGTTTATTCTACAAAGGTATGCCAAAAGTATGAAATTGCAGAAACATTCCTTCAAAAATTAATGAGCTATAACTTTAATGAACTTAATATTTATATTTAACTTTAAAACTTAGCACCTCTAAATTGGACATTCTCACTTTTGAGCGTAAAGTAAGCCCGTTTTTACCATTCAATGTTTTAACGGCTAAGATTGACCCCATTCTATATAAAGTTCTTAAATTATTAAATGTGAAACACAGAAAACTTATGCCTCTTCCCTTCTTCTTCTCCATTAGATTATTAGATGACATGCAAGGCTACCTGCAGAATTAGATTCTGCATTATGCAATGGGCTAGATCCATGTCTACCATGCTAGTGCTCATTGTTAGATATATTTGAGAGTGAGGCATCTGTCTAAGAAAGACCACCAGTTGTTGCAAATTGGTTTTGTAATCCCAACAATCACAATCACAACCACAACCACAATCTCAAGGATAATTCATCATGAGACTCCTTTGAGTAATTTCCTTGAATGTCCTTCTATGTCTCCCTTTACCCCTTTTCACAAAACTGAAAATCATGTGATATACTCTCTTCATCTGTCTCTAATAGCTTGCTTTGTACATTTCCAAACCACCGTAATGTTTAACTAGGACACTGTAAAACAAACTAAAGCCTTTCATTTGGGGTTGCGAAGTCTATTGCTTGGTTGTCTCCTGAAGCCCCATTGTGACTTCGCTAATCCTGTAATAGGTGGAATGGTAGGGAATTAGTAGAGGTATAATCTTTATATAAACACACACACACACACACACACACACACACACACACACACACACACACACACACACACACACACACACACACACACACACACACACACACACACACACACAGAGACACACAGAGAGAAAATTCTCGACAATAAAGGTCTTACTTCCTCTGAAGTGATATTGTTCACTTTAGAAAAGTCAATCTTTGAACTATAGATTGTTGTACTAGGAAGTGTCAGTTCTTTGTTAATTTTGCTATTATATCTATCCCCAAAGTGAATCTTTGCTTCATTTGAATTTCTTACTAGCTGCATATATTTTCTTGAAAGTCACGGTGTAAGCCTTGTAAAATTTTTATGTCTTGCCGAGGTCATCTTCGTAGTTCGTGTTTCTAACTGCAGGAAGGTGTACAACAACTTGTTCTTGGTTTATACATCATCAGGGGTGACAACATGTATGCCCCTTACTCCGTCATTTTTCAATTTGTCCATCATATAGATTTCATATTGTGGACTATTTACATGCCCTAAAATTTGTCTGGTTTCCCTTTGATCATTGCAGAAGTGTTGTTGGTGAACTGGATGAAGATCTGGATTCTAGTCTGGATTTATCAAAACTTAGAGCGCATCCCTTGAAACCTGTAATCCATTGAGTGAAAATACTCCGTATGGGTTTTCAATGAGTACATGTCTGTAGGGTTGAAAGAGTGAGTTTTGCGGCATTATGTACTAGAGTAGGGCGTGAAACTCTCTCTAAGAATATGAAGAAAGCATAACATTTTTAATATTTTGATTCTATTGGCATGTAAGTTTTGTCAAACCAATGAATGCAACATATTTGTCACCATATTCTCCTTTTCACGTTACCTCTTTTGGAGTATTGATAAAGATGCTACATGCTATGTGATATTTTTGTCCGTATGATTCGAGATTAGATGTATAACGTCTCATTTAAATATATATATATATATATATATATATATATATATATATATATATATTATTGGACTTAATTAAATTATTTAATAAGATTTATAGTATAAAATAAAAATCTTAAGTTATCTTTTTAAATAAAGATAAAAAATAGAAATAGAAAAATAATATTGAAATGATAAAATATAAAAGTAAATTGAACTTTACTTTAAAGTTTAATTTTACTCGTTAGTCTATAAAAAACGTATTAGATCATTTCTTGTTCATTCTATATGAGAGTATTGTGTGTGGAAAATGTGACCTGTGTGTTTATCAGTATTTGAAGGTAGAATGACAACTCCTAGTGATCCCTAAGATATTGTTTTGAATAATTTGTGATAATAAGATTTTTAAAATTTTAATAAATTATTAATTATTAATTATTGATTTGTATTGCGTTTTGAATCTTAGATCCAATTTATACCAATTAATTAGGATTTCAAGAGACCTCTTTAATCCTTAATAAAAAGTTAAAATATATTGAGTTAAATTTTAAATTTCATAAATTATAATTTAATTATTAATTTGTATTTTAGGATTTTGTGATCTTATTTAATATTTATAGATTATAAAGACATTTAAGGATGATTTGTTTTGAAATTGAGAAACATGATCTTAATAAAAGTTGCATACCTAGATATTAGCTAACTAATGTTGTTGATTTTATGCAAAAATATTATATATAATTCAAGATATAATATTTTTTAGTAATTAAAGGTTATACGGCTAGTGGTAGAAGAAAATTTTGTGTTTTGTCTTTATCGTAGGTCAAGTAAATGATTGAACTAGATTTTAAGATGATAATATAAGTGGTAGACAATTGTATTAACTTTAAAACAAGATAAAAATCAATATCACATATTAAGTATAATTATAAATATTGTTTTTATATCAAACTGAGATCATAAAAGTATAAAGTGAATGAAATATTACCAAAAATTTAAGAGATACGGTGGTGACTTTCTAAAGATGTAAACCTTATGTGTGTATTGAAATGTGTGATGATGAATTTGAAGAGTTTTTAAGTTATAATAAGATGAATTGTTGTTGTGTTTGCAAGTTACTTTTATGATTTGAGAAGTCTAAATAATAGTTTTGCAGTATGAAAAATTCAAGTTATGTTTGATTATTTGAGAAGTCTAAGCATGACTTAGCTGTGTAAAAATCCAAATTTTACTTGGTCATTTGAGAAGTCTAAACAATGATTTAGCACGGTAAAAAATTCAAGTTATGCTTGGTCATTTGAGATGAATTATGCATTAGTGTGTAATGTATTTATGTGTACATACTTCATTCATTCATATTTTCTTGGGGTGGATGTGATCTATGAAAGATGGTCTTTATAGTCTTTTACCTTGACCTTGGGGATTTTAGAGTAAGAGATCTCTCATCTGAGTAAGATGAGGGCCAATTACGACAAATTTTTCTATCTTGATTGACTTCTATTAGACTTATTCTAGTTGAGAGTGAATTGATAGGGTCATTGTGATCTAATTCATGTATTCTTAAACTACTTTAAAAGTGTGTGCACAAAGATAAGAACATTTATACATTGAGTTAATTGAATGTATTTTATGATTATGTGTTGGTAATGTGATTATGTGTTTATAATATGACATTTGTTTAGTTTAATTCTATCTAACTTAGTTAATTGAACAAGCTTATGATTGAGTATGTGTTGATAATATGACGTTTGTGCATTTTAGTTATACTCGACTTCTTATGTGTATTTATAACATATGTGAGATATATATCTTACTCCTTTATTTATGTTGTTTGTGTTATTGTCTGGGTTGAACGCCTTTACATGCAAACCGATTTTCGATAAGAAAGAAGACATGAGTGATGAAGATTAAACTTCTTTTATCGTTATTTTATAGGATTGTGATATCCTTTTTATTAAGTTATTAATTTAATTATATTTTAAGAGATAATTATTTTCTATTAAATCTTGACAAAAATAACACATGAGATAATTGTTTATACATTTATATTTATAAATAATATATGAACTTTACAAGTTTATATTGCTTCCATATTGGAAACAATTATTTTTTTCTCTAAGTGATTGATTTATCAATATTTGTATTCCAGACTTGATGTCTCCATCTATTTAAGTTTATATTTTTAATTGTAACATTATTAGACACATGCTCTCAATAAATCTTCTAAGGACTAGATTGTCCTTTTTTTTACTGTCCAAGTTTGGGGATGTTAAGTTAAACTAAGATGAAGTTTAGTTCCTAAGATTTGATGTAAACTCTTCTAGAATTAAGAAGTAAACCTAGGACCCCTATCACATATAATACTAGATGGAACTCCATGTAATCTCATAGTTTCTCTTATGTACAATTCAGTTAGTTTCTCCAATAAATATTTAATGTTAATGGGTAAGAAGTGAATAGACTTTGTTAACCTATCTATGATAATATATATGAAATTAAATTTTTGAATTGTTCGTGGTCAACCAACTACAAAACTCATCGTTATACTATATCATTTCTACTTTGGTATATCTAAGGATTGTAACATTTTTGTTGCCTTTTAGTGTTTTATCTTAGTTTTCTAACAAATTAAGTATGTTGCTACATATTGTGTTACTTTCTCTTCATCGTAGGGCACAAAAACATTTTCTTAAGATCTTAATACATTTTTGTTGTGCCTCAATATATGCTCAATTTGTTCTTACATGCTTTTTCTAAAATCAATTTCTTAATATCTACATCATTAGATATACATATCCAACTTTTAAAATTCTAAATTTTTGCCCTATGTATGCAAAATGTTCTTCATTCTTTTGTCCTATCAACTTTTTCTTTTGAATGAATTCATACTTACCTGATCATGTTGGATTTACCTTTATAAATAATTGGTAATTTGAACTTAATTTAATTTCATTCTACCATGGCTCACTATAATTGAAAATTCATATTTCTAAATTTTTCGAGTAGACTCATCTCATGAATGAAGAAACATGTAAGAATTTTCTGCTTAAAGTGTGTGTCACTACATTTGTCTTTCCTAGGTAGTAATGTAATTCAAAATTTTAATTTTTCATAAATTTTATCTATCTTTTTCGTCTCATATTTAACTCTTTTTCATCAAACAAGTATTTAAGACTCTTATAATCATTAAAAACCTCGAGCTTATTACCACACACATAATATCTCTTTATTTTGAGTGCAAAAATAATGACGGCTAGTTCTAAATCATGAGTTAGGTACTTTTTCTCTTATGCTCTTAATTGTCTAAGAAGAATATTACTACCATTTTATCTTACATAAGAACACATCCTAATCCCATTTTAGAAGCATAACAAAATATCATAAAGTGTCCAATAGGATTGGGTAATGCTAACACATATCCTACCATTAAATTTTGAAATTCTTGTCATATCTATACAAAAATTTTATTCATTCTTTTGTCCTATCAACTTCTTTTTCTTTTTAAATGAATTCATTACTTACTTGAGTATGATGGATTTGCCTCTATAAATCACTGGTAATATAAATTGAATTAATTTCATTTTATTAGGGCTCACTGTAATTGACAAATTCATGTCTTTGAATTTTTCTAGTAAACTTATCTCATGAATTATCAATGAAGAGGCATGTAAGGATTTTCTACTTAAAGTATCTGTCACTACATTTTCTTTTTCTGGGTGGTAATGTAATTCAAAATCATAATCTTTCATAAATTTCATCCATCTTTATTGTCTCAAGCAGTTTCATTGTCATGTAGCACTTGTAACTGCTCAATGTCACATAGTGGGTTACAACCGTTTTTACATGCATCTCAATGGTATAACTTCTTCTTGATACCTTGTTTTCTTTTTATTGCATAATTGTCCCTCAATCCTTTGTCTTTCTCGATTGTATAATTGATCCTTTGTCTTTCTCCATTAATCATTTCTTGATTAATACCTTGCCTTTCTCGATTTCTCTAAATCCATATATTTCAGTAAGTTCTTCTTGATATCTCTCTGATTCTTTCTAACTCTTTGATTTATATTTGAAAACATTATCTACTTCTACCAATATGTTTCTTGATGTCTCATCTAATTATGATAATCCTTCGATTATTTGATCTTTAATTATTTTGTCTCTTTTTCAATTTCCTTGTGAATCATTGATCCTTTGATTCTTTTTGTCTCCATTGCTAAGAAGTCTTAATTATTTGATTTGTACATTTTGATTGCTTGTTCTCTTCGATCTCAATCATATATCTATCAATTGACCCCTCAATTACTTATATTCTTTATTCTTGATCACTCTCGATCTTTAACATTTTGTTCTCGATTTTCACCTTTTGAATCTTTAACATCTTAATATCAATTTTTACTTCATCGACCTCGATATGATATTTACCTTCTCAATCTTTTACTTGTTTAGATCTTGATTTACCCTTTCGAGTCTTTTACCATATTGATCTTGATATTTTTATGTTATTGATCTTGATTTTTATTATCAAACTCGATTTTCACCTTTTTTATTTTTAATATCTCGATCTTGATTTTTATTCTTTCGATCTTAATTTTTATTATTAATATCGATTTTTACATTTTCGACCTTTAACATCTTAAATAATAACGATTAAAGTAATTAAAATTTAAGCATACGAAGATTTACATGAGATGAAATCCAAAAACATTTCAAATTATTCAACATTTTCATAATTTATTTAGAAAATTTTTAATGAAGAAATTTTTAAAATTCACCCATTCAAAATTTTACAAAACATTATTTTTATATATTCTGAATTTCTTTATTTAAAACTTAAAAAAATATCATACATTCTAAATTCATTAATTCATTCGAATTTTTCAATTTAAGACATTCCAAAATACTAAAAATATGTAAGTGTAATATTTTTGAAAGAATATGGGATAAAAGAAAAAACTGTGGGATAAAGAAAGAGCCTTCCCACCATATTTTTTTTAATTAATTAATTACAAAGTTGATAAATACTTTATGTTTCTGAATTAATCATAAATATTAATTATTAATTAAAACTAGTTAAAATTTACGGTAAAATTAGTTAAGTCTTTACTAAATATTAATTTTAATAGTATATATATAATTAAATCATATAATAAAAAGAAACAAGTTTTTTTTTCTTCTATTTTTTTTAAAATTTGTTATTGGTTCTTAAATTTTTCAATTGATTAATTTATTGTCAAAATTTTAAAAGTATATTATTTTAATATTTAATGATATTTTTTTTATCGTCACGTCACAAAATTGATATAATGATTAAATTTTAAATTATGTCATTTTATTTTTTTATACATAAATTTAATTTAAGAAAATAATTAAATTAAATTTTTAAGTTTGATAATCAATTAATTAATTTTAAATATTCTAAAATAAAATAAAATTATAGAAAAAAAATTCAAGTATAAAATATATTTAACAAAGTAAAAATATAGTTACAATAAAATATATATTTTTTATATAGGTAAAGATAAATTGATAAATATTAATCTCATAAAATAATATCATATTATGTAAAGAAATATTTATTAGATAAAAAATCATATTATTAATAAATAATTATTCAAAATAAAAAAAGATCATATTGTACCAGATTTTTTTAGTTAATATTATACTAGATTAAATAATATAAGTAATATCTAATAACCACTTAACTGTAGTGGGTAGAGTAGTTTTCGAAACTCCTATGTCTACCCCAAATCGAATTAATTAATTTAAATTTTGTCTTCTGCTTCTTATTTTGTTTTCGAAACCCTTCTCAAGAGACCTAAACTTCCCCAACCGCCTTCTGTCACCAACCACACCGCCTTCAGTTTTGTGTTTGTTATTCGCTCTCGTTTATGCTCGAGGATTCCTTTGTGTGGAACATTCTGAATTTTTCGGTGAGTTCTTCCATTCATGGTGTTTTCCTTTAAGGTTAGGCATTTTGTGGGTTTGGTTTTTCTTTTACGATTTGGAATTTTGATGCATAATCTGGTCGATTGAATAGTAGTCAAACTTTTGTTTGTCTTTAACCAAGTCCGTTTGTAAACATATGCTTGGCAGTTGTAAATCTCTAATAGCTTTCTGAACATGAATATGTTTATTTGTGGAAAGTAATTGATGGATATTTAACACAAGGCAAGAGTGTTTAGCAACAAGCTCAAACAGTATGCAATTTCTGATGTGTGATGAAGGTATTAGTCTATCTGTTGTGCTTAGAGAACGTGCTAGAAGGCCTGCAAAGGAAGTTGGGTTAGCTGTTATGACAGGGTGCATTAAGAGTATATCATATGGTTATTATTTTTGTATTTGAAACTTATACAGGGTTTTGGCTACTTTGCTTTTAGTATATAGGACCAGGTCCTCTACTTAGTTAGCCTTGAACTTTGAGTTTAGGTTATATTTGTGCATCAGTTTTCAAATTTTAATGTAGGATATCATGCTTGGGAAGGGTTCCTAAATTTTTCTGTTTTGACAATTGATGCTTTCGGTTGGAAGTCCCACGTAGCCTATATCATATCATGTATGGTTTAAATACATGTAAGACTACTTCAGATGTTGCTAATTGGTTTTATGTTAGAATCCTAACTTTTTTTTGAAGCCCTAACTTTTTTTCGGTTATTGTCTTGGGCCAGTTGCCCTTAAATATCCTTTGTCTGGTCTAGGCTTCGTCGTTAGTGGGGGCGTGTTGGAAGCCCCACATCGCCTGTCTCATGTCATGTGGTATGGTTTAAATACAACTACTCCATGTATTGCCAATTGGTTTTATGTTATAATCTTAACACTTTTTGTAATAGGATTCCTAAATTTTTCTGTTTTTGACAATTGATGCTTTCTGTAATAGTGGATTACTTGCCCCAAAAGAATTAATTTAATTTTTATCAAGATTGGAGTATCATGTGAGCTGTAATATGTTGTATTCTTGGTAGCCATGTGTGTACTGGCCTATGCAGTAGTTCTTATGTCCCATTTTCCCTACAAATATGATTATCGGGTTCTGATTGAAAATATTATTGACCGAATCCTCGTAGTTATATAGATTTATTTATTTAATAGTTTGAATTAGTATTGAATGTCATTCTTACATTTACTATTATGGAAGTTGTCAGCATCTTACTGAAATTTGGAAGCGGTTCTCTGTAAGAACATGTTCATAGAGGCAGAGTTACAGCTTAACGTATTTTAAAAATCCAAGGTATTTAATTGATACATTTATCCAATCACAACCTTAGCTACTTTGTTTAATTTTGTAAATGAAATAAATCTAAATAATTTATGTGAATGAAATTTTTTACAAATGAAGGGTATTCAATTATTAATTTATTAAGAATTGAGCTTGCTGGTATTTTAAATTCCTAAGAATTTTCAAATGAATAACCCAATAACACGGACTTGCGGTATAGAAAAATAACTTCTTTTTTTGTCAATCATCCTTGAGCCCGTCCTTTTTATTGCTTTGGGGTTGACCAATCTTAATCCTAACCCATCTGAATTGCCAGTATGCCCAAAAAGGTCCCAAACTTGACTAGAATGCCAACTTAATTCAGAGCCAGTATTATTGTTTAAAAACACAGGTTTGACAAACTTATTCTGTTTGAGTTTGATCTGTCTTTTGATTCTGAGACCTTATTCTTTGCTTGTTATGGCAAGTTTGTTTTTTGCAACAAAACCCTTACACCACGAATCCAATCCTAATTTGTGACATATTCTCCTTCCTTTAGACAGTTACACTTTTTCCATTAACACAAGTGAAGAGTTTCGATGGAGAATGGAGACATACCTGAGGATGCCAATGAGCGTATGTATATGCACTTTTTCCTGTTTTGTATTCAGAACTTCACTTCTCTAGTTTTATGTATACTTATGGATATGATTATTTTGTATTCTGTATTGTGGCATTTACAGATTGCCCAGGTCCTCAGTCTGAATCTGCTGGAAAATCTGATGCATGTGAAGGGTGCCCAAATCAGCAAATTTGTGCCACTGCCCCCAAAGGACCTGACCCCGGTACTCTTCTTTATCTTATTCTTTTATTCTTCTTTCCAGCAACTATCAATTTCCAAAAATGACATGATTTATACATAGAAGCATGTTCTAGCTTATTTAGTATAGGTTGCTAGTAAATGATTTCCACCTTAGGCTTTTTATCACTGCTTATATGGGTTGACTAGTGAGGAAAGGGAGTGAAACTCTTCTTCCAGTCTTACCCTTGTCATGCATGTAGGATTTTGGGATGTCATTGTTATGTCAAGAAATTTTAAGTAAGGACCGGTAAAGCATTTGAGGTTCCATAGTTTTTCTTAGTTCACATATTGTTCAATCTAACTGGGTATTAATTCTATGGACAATTGATAATGTTTATTGCTATTTGAAGATTTAAATTCCAATTATGGATATAGTTATGAGTAATTAAGTAAAGTTTAGCTTCAATTGATTTTTTTTTCTTATTGTTTTATTCAAATTAATAGAGTCAGTTTCATAAGATCAATTTGATCCTGATGTATAGAATATTGTTCCCTGAAATTTGTTGGTATCTTATTCTCTTTGTTAAGTCTTGTCTGTTTTAGAACCTGTGTTAGCATTTGTTATTTCAATGTGACCTATTAAGAGAAATGAATTTTTAGCTTCAGTGACAACCCTTCATATTCAAATTTTCAATTGTTGAATTTATAGTTCTTAGTACTATGTGTTGTTGTAGCTCTGACAACTTTTTACACAGTAAAATTTAACATAACACTTCGTAATCAGTTCCTTCATATAATCTTTTAGACGACTAGAACATATATTCTATTGAACCATATGTGTTGGATATCATTCTAGTCTAGACATAAATTGTCCTCAGTTACGAACTCTAATTGATATGATAATAAGCTTCAAATTGAATGCCACACCTACCAAATGATTAAGTTAGCTATTTAACAAAAACAATTAGGCCTGTGACAGTTACAAAGTGAAATAATAAAAGGGACAACACAGATAGAGAAGAAACAAAGTGCTTAACAGGTTTGTAGAAACAAACAGATATTGACTTGAGCCAACTGGTTATAATAAAATATCCAAACGGTATTTAGTGTGTAAGGAGGATAGAAACAGACTACGAGAACCCACTACAGTCTCTCAAAATGGAATGCATTCATGCTTTGTGTCAGGATGTTTGGATCACTGCATTGAAGAGCATTTTGCCATAGGCTCTATATTTTTCTGATTCCAGTTTGAATCAACCTAGGTGTGACTTAGTATGCTCCATTAATCTTGAATGTCTTAGCAGTATTTGTTTATTTTTCATAGCTGAAACCAAAATAGGGAGGTATAAACAGTTTTAAAACATTTTAATCTACTTGATGAAATCAAGATCTTTTTCTGTTTCCAAGTAGCATTTCTATCAATCCACTCTGTCTATCAATTCAAATTATTGATGAGTACTTTCATACTACGCAATAAACCATTTCTATACTATGAAAAATTGGCAATTAACAAAATGTGATGCCTTGGAGTTCCCAAAAGTGTTTTTTGAGATCATATGGTACTAATAAGTAACAACCATGAGTTGAACTGTATTTCACTTCTTGGTGTTTATGTCATGCTTTCACTCACAGAAGGCTTGTACAATTAGCTAGCTTAGGAAGATTTATGTACTGCACTTTTTGTAGCTCGTCTGATTTTCTCTTCATTTAATGGTTTACAATGATAAAACATTTTTTCTTAATGGCAAGAAGATGTGCTCTCTTGCTGTTTTATTTTTTCTGTAGCACTCTTAGTTTGTGTGATAAGAATAAACCACCTATCACCAAGATATACACAGCAAGAAACAAACAAAAGAAGCAACAATCTTAGACCACGAGCAACATGGCACACAACACTCAAAAGATACAAAAACACCCAACAATTACAACCCATCCAAAGGGTATAAAATCAAGGAATGCAAATCAGGGGGCATAACCCTTGGAATAGAGATACAACCATTAGGAAAAGTTATATCAATTTGGAAAAGTTGTTAGAAGCAATATAAATAGAAGTAATCCAGATTAGGAAACACATGAAGAAAATTGAGAAGGAATTATATTGTGGAGAGACAGGCTCTCAAAAATGTGTTATAAAAATATCTCAAAATTATCTTTATAAATTTTATTCATTTTATTAATCCTTTCCAGTTCTTTTCTGTCCATATGATTGTGTTTGGATAGGGCATTTGAAAACATTTTATAATTTAAAATGATGAGAAATTGAATTGCCTTCAATTTAAAAAAAAAATGATCCTTCTACATTTGCTTTTGTAGATCTGGTTGCCATTGCAGAAAGAATGGCTACTGTGAAACACAAGATATTAGTCTTATCAGGAAAAGGAGGAGTTGGTAAGAGCACATTCTCTGCACAGCTGGCATTTGCTTTAGCAGAAAGGGATTTTCAGGTGGGTCTTCTTGATGTTGATATTTGTGGTCCAAGCATTCCAAAGATGCTTGGCCTAGAAGGTCAAGAGATACACCAGAGCAACCTTGGTTGGTCTCCTGTCTATGTGGAGTCCAACCTTGGGGTCATGTCAATTGGGTTCATGCTCCCCAACCCTGATGAAGCTGTTATATGGAGAGGCCCACGTAAAAATGGACTTATCAAGCAGTTTCTAAAAGATGTCTACTGGGGTGAACTTGATTTTCTAATCGTCGATGCTCCACCTGGAACCTCAGATGAACACATTTCCATTGTTCAATGCCTTGATGGCACTGGAGTAGATGGTGCAATTATAGTGACTACTCCTCAACAAGTTTCTCTTATTGATGTGAGGAAAGAAGTGAATTTTTGCAAGAAAGTTGGCGTGAAAGTTCTAGGGGTTGTAGAAAATATGAGTAGCCTGTGCCAGCCCATCACAGATTTCAAATTTATGAAAATGTCTGATGAAGGGGAGCAGAAAGATGTGACACAGTGGGTTTGGGAATATATGAAAGAAAAAGCACCAGAAATGTTGAATTTGATTGCTTGCACTGAAGTGTTTGATAGCAGTGGTGGGGGAGCAGTGAAAATGTGCAATGAAATGGGGGTACCCTTTCTTGGTAAAGTTCCTTTAGATCCACAGCTTTGTAAGGCAGCTGAAGACGGTACATCCTGCTTTGCTAATAAAGATTGTGTTGTTAGTGCTCCGGCATTAAAGAAGATTATAGTGCAGTTGATTGAAACTAATGGGTGGTCAATGTTATTAAGTAATGGAGCTTAGTAGATATTGATTTATGGTGATCTTTGTAAATCTAAATTTTATTTTATGTATGAACTCTTAGCACAGAAAATTTTCTTTGATACTTCAAGGAGTGTAGAAACTTGAATGACATGGGGTTGAGACGTTTGGGGATGTTCATTATTGAAATAAGTTAATTTTGTATTGAAATGGTGATTCTGTGTGCAATGTTTTTTTCTCCCCTAGATTTTTGATAAAATATTTTACAAAGAAAAACGTTTTCTTTATCAAATAAGATTTCGGAGAGAATAATTAAGAATTCACAGAATTTTTAATTTAACAATTGTTTATATACTTTATCCCTAATCATTAATCAATTTAAACAAAATTAATTACAAATATAAACCAAATGAATTATCTTAAAATCACCTTTACATAACATTTAAATATACATTTTATTTTCTTTAATTAATTTTTATAATTGACAAAATATATGATTATTGAAATAATCTTTAATAAATAATTTAATATGAAGAGACTAATGCGGAGAAGGAAATTGATGTGATCTTGGCACTTAGTTTTGGTTACTCGAACAGTTTTCTTGCTTTAATATTTCATCATTTTTCCTTTTATGCAATATTTGTATCCATTCAGTTCTGACACATTTTAGTGCTGTGTCTTGTAAAAATTGGGAAGCTAGAGAGTTATCTTTAGTTATTAGTATTTTTTTAATTTAAAAGTTAAGATAATAAATTTTTTAATTATTATATTAAAAAATGAGAAAAGATGAAGGATTAAAACATCTTTAATTTAATTTAATTTTTTAGTTTATAAAAATAGTTTTAGAGATAAATCTAATAAAAAAATTTAAAAATAGGTTAAATGAAATATATTTAATAATTTTAATTTAAAATTGTTTTAGAGATATTAAAATAATAATAAAATAATGTAGTATAATTATTGATAAAATGCGAATACCAATAATAAAAATTAAAATTAAATATGAAAAATATTTGATATCAATTTTAAAAATTTAAATTAAAAATAAATATATTTTTAAAAATTATTTTAATAAAATAGTTAGTAAATAAGTTTTTTTTTAAATTAAAAAACTAAAAATCATTTTTAAAAATAATAGATAACAAGTTCTTAACCGTCTAATTCTTATTTTTGTACGAAATAAATAAATCTCTTCTTAATGTAACAACCAAAACAACTCTTATTTTTTAATCTTATTCTTAAAAAAAAGACCATACTTAAGCCATATTTTATTTCCATTCAAGGTATAGAAAAATTTCTCTCTCTCTCTCTCTCTCTCTCTCTCTCTATATATATATATATATATATATATATATATATATATATATATAATATTAAAAAGAGTGTGTCTTTGGGTATTTTTATATTCATTTGAGAAAAAACAAAACTGTGGTCATTTCTTTTATTCTTACTAATTAATTGGCCCAAGCAAGTCGAAAACGGTGGGTCATAAGAAGATTATCTTGATTTAATTAATGCTTTGAGATGAATTGATAGATTAGACCTCATTAAAATAAAGTTGTACCTAAATAATTGAATCTTGCTTACACTGGTGTTACTAAAAAGAATTGCCTGTCAAAAGTCAACACAACTCACGTCATAAATGTAATTGTGTATGCTGATTATTTTATTGCTATATTGGGAATATTATTTTTAAAATTCAATAAAATCATAAAAAATAATTACTTTTATTGATATGTGTGAGTATTTAGAAATAACAATATCAAGTTTAGATAATATTACATTCAAAGTCTCTATTTTTTTACAATACCCAAAATTCCTTGAAATCTCCAATATTGTGACACTTGCATCTCTGTTTTGAAACGGTTTCTTTTAACATAATTTATGGCGTGAGATGCATATCCTGTTTAATAAAAGGGTACCGGTGAGATTAAGGTGAAATTTGGTATTTGTATTTTGGGTTTAGAGTATTGGAGTGTAAATTAATTAGTAAACATGGCATGAACGTGCCTTTTCCGTTGCAACCATGATAGTCCACTTCGTGATGTCTATTCGCTCCTAACGACGACGTTCGCTCTCACTTAATTTGATTTCAGTGCTATTTCTCCTTCTCCCCAAAACAAACCTCGCATAATACGCTTCATCTTCTCCATGTTTCCAATTCAGGTTTCTTCTTCTTCCACTTCAATCAATTCCTTTATTTATCCATTCCCCGTCCCTTATTCTTCCTTTTCAGGACTTCTTCTGCCTCCCGCGCCTCCACAACGTCTTCTCAGGTACTCTACTCACCTCAATCTTCTAACCTATTTTCATCTTCATACCTTATTTTACGCCAGAACCTTCAATTCCTACGGTTGGAACGTAAACGCTTATTTTTAACTACAAATTGCAATTACCTCTTCTTAATGCGTCAAATCATGACAAAATTAACCTAAAATTAAAATCATCATATTAGTTTCTAATACCTAGATTAAATGAACCGGCACTTTATTTCACAAATTAAATAGTCTCATACGCTAATTTTACTAACCAATATATATGTTTATATAATGAGATTATTCGAATTTAATTACTGTCCTCAAATTTCAATTGAATATGAACTTGTTCTGTCAATATAACTGTGTTAATACTATTTTTGTTGTGTAATTTTAGTTTGAACTTTGTTATATCTGTGTTAAATACTCGTTTATGGTGTAATTTGAATCTGTTCGAACTTGATTATCTGGTACCTTTTCCAGAGTATATATATGATTTTGTAAAAATTAAAAATATATAGTCTAATTAACGGTTAATGATTCGACTATTTTTTTTATTTTGTTTTTGTTGAAGCAGAATCGTTTTTGCAGTCTTTAGGCGATTCCGTTACAACTTCGAGTTGCAAAAGCACGGAGTTGGAGCAATGTCGCGACGAGTCAGCGGCGTTGGTTTTGAAATTCGTGGCGATGGCGTCGATTATGGTGGCCGGGTTTGGGGGGATCGCGATTCCTCTGGCGGGGAAGTCGCGGCGGTTGCTGCGGCCGGACGGGGACGCGTTCACGGCGGCGAAGGCGTTCGCGGCGGGGGTGATTCTAGCGACGGGGTTCGTGCACATGCTGAGAGACTCGTGGGAGGCGCTGGGGAACCCGTGTCTGAGGACGCGCTGGGGCGCGTGGGGGAAGTTTCCCTTCACCGGTTTCTTCGCCATGGTGTCCGCGCTCTGCACTCTCCTCGTTGACTTTATGGCGACTGGGTACTACGAGCGGAAGGAGGGGCGTCGGCGCGTGGAGCGTGCAAAGGTTGTTGATGAGTTTGGGAGTGACGAGGAGGCGTTGTTGGAAACGGGAATTGTGGAGGTCATGGACGTTGGGGGAGAGGGAAGGCACCCCGCGCAGCGTACACACTCCCACTCGCACCACTGTGATGACGTGGAAAGTACCGTTCGGCACGTCGTCGTTTCACAGGTGATAAAGTGCATTGCTAATATTTACTTGCATATGATTTTTATTTTAGAATATTCACTTGCATTCCTCCATTAGTATTATAGCACAAAAATAGCTTCTTATGTAATAATTTTACACCCGTGATTTTATGTAGAAGAGAGTGTCACTGTCACAAATAGTTTGTTATAGAATATTGTTGGCTAATACTAAAAACAAATTTATGATATTAATGTATTATAACTAAAGTTAAAGTTTAAATTTTAAATTGATTTCGTTTTTGAAAACACAGTTGAAAAATAAACTTCCCAGTGTCAATAAAAAAACACTACAAACTTATTTTTGAAATAAATTTTTAACCATAAATTACTGTATTTCAAATTTAACTTCAACCCAAATTAATTATAATTTTTTTCCAGTAACATACTTTTTTTAATACATTTTTATTTTTGGTTAAAATTTATTAAAAATTGTAAAATTAATATTTAACAAAAAGCTGTAACTTTAATAAATTTTAACTAATAAAAATATATTATGAAATGTTTTAAAGAATATATTCCTAACATTTTCAAGAAAAAAATGAATATATTCAAGCATACAGTTAGTGGTCACAAATTGATTATTCATTGACCATTGCGTACGAGAATCATTTTCGGTTGCGTGGTCTTTAAGCGAATCGAATCCTCACGTACGTCCATTAGTTTTTGTTCACTTTTTTAAGACAACAATGGGTGAACCAGCCGGGATCTAAATTCATTTTATCTCAACTCTTGTCAACACACTATTAACTTAGATTAATGACTCCCGCTTAAAATTTTTGTAGTTTCTGATAAATGTAAACAAACAGTATGTGTTCGTTCTCATTCAGTAACTACTGCTAGTAAAATACTATGAATTTTCTAAAAATTTTGAAATATTGGGTGCATGAGGATTGCTTGAAGTTTCTGTTGATTAATAATATTGACAAGTAAACAAATTATACAAATTTCTGATATCCAACTTGTATCTAGGTATTGGAACTAGGGATTGTATCCCATTCGATGATAATTGGGTTATCTCTAGGAGTTTCTCAAAGTCCTTGTACCATGAGACCCTTAATTGTGGCATTATCCTTCCATCAGTTCTTCGAAGGATTTGCACTTGGTGGATGTATCTCCCAAGCCCAATTCAAGACCTTATCAGCAACAATAATGTCATGTTTTTTTGCTCTAACAACGCCCTTAGGAGTTGCCATTGGGGCTGGTATTGCTTCAGTTTTTAACCCTTTCAGTCCAGGGGCACTCATAACTGAAGGCATCTTGGACTCTTTGTCAGCTGGGATTTTAATGTACATGGCTTTAGTGGACATAATAGCTGCAGATTTTCTTAGCAAGAAAATGCGTGGCGACTTTAGGCTTCAGATTACATGTTACTGCTTGCTTTTTCTAGGTGCTGGATTGATGTCTTCACTCGCAATTTGGGCATAATCCTTTTCAATGTTGTAAATTTATCAGGTAATATTTATGTATAGCTTGATTGTTTTTATTCTTCTCTTATTCCTTCTGATAACTAACTGAAGAGAAAGATAAACATGCTAAAGATAGATTGCTGAATAACTCGGTGTTAGTTCCAATTATGAACCCATTCAAAATATGGCATTGTTATCTTAATTTTAAGCATGCAACTGTTTATAATTAGGAAAAAACTATTTTGACACACAATAACTGCTTTATATATTATAATAATAATTTTAAATTATTTTTATTTTAATTAAATCCTTCAATGATTATTTACAACCTGTTGTCAATATATCAACCTCTTATAATTAATACAGTCTGATACGAGGCCTCCATCAGATTAAAGTATTGCGGTATTCGGCCCACTTACATTCATTTTATCATCACCATCCTCACTTGCAAAATAAATGTGAATACAACTGTTTCATTACCTCCATACAATAATTTTTTAAAGAAATAATAGGTATTTTTAATGAGATAATTTTATTTGACTTAAAGTGAGAGTATAGTAAAACCATTTTGAAAACCGATAGGATTGGCTAATTTAACTGATATAATAAAATGAGTTTATTATTTTAAAAATAATTATATTTTAACTAAATTAAGATAAAATAAAGAAATAAAATTATGAGTTTATTATTTTCAAAATAATTATATTTTAATTAGATTAAGATAAAATTAAAAAATTGAGCATATTTTTTATTGATTTGATTATAGTAAAATATTATAAAAATTAAAATTTTGAATATAAATTGTTTATAAAAGATAATATATTTTAAAAATATTATTATTATTATTATTATTATTATTATTATAATAATTATTATTATTATTATTATTCATATGAGAAATTATATTTTTTCTCATCCAAGTTTGCTTGCAAAGTTAAATGATAAAATAGGTATTTATGTGGCACTCACCCTGATACCTCCATTAAATTAGTCACATCAATAACGTGTATGTACCATAACTCGGTTAGTATAGTCCATGGAGCCAAAGTATACCAAGATAGATATATCATTAATTATAATATTTTTTTAGAATTTATAAAGAATCAGCTTTAAAATCTACATAAAAAGATATGTACATTTAACTTCTTATTAAAAAAATAAATAAATATTATTTTCATATTTCTTATATTTGATAATCACTTTATAGAACATTAAGAAAATTGTGCTTTTATTTGTCATTTTTATTTAATTTTAGTTACCTATTTTGATAAAATTCACAATTTTATTTTAATTCTTCGTGCATATAATTTTTCATTGTAATTTAATTAAATTTAACATATTCATTCATAATAGCATAAAAATAATATAATTAATTAATGTATAAAAAATAAAATAAACATACAGAATTGAAATTTTTTAATATCGGAAGACTAAAATTATAAAAAAAATAAAAATATTGATGAATTTGTATTCTTTCTTATTAAATACCAAATATTTTTAACTAAAAAAATTATATATTTTTTTACCTTTAGTTAAAGGAAAAAAAAAAAACTTATACATCGTTATTGATAAAATGATGTGAAATTACTTTGTTTACTAAAACGTGATTAAGTCAAAACCACCAGTTTTGAAGGATTCGTCCAACCCATTCACAATCTAAATGATCCTCATCATTAAACAAGTTTTTTTTCCTCTCATTCTTCTCATTTCTAAACTTAAACAATGATTTGCTATTATCCTCTTTATCCATAGCCACCACTTCCACTAACCTATTTTTGTTCACTGGAAACCTACTTGTGGAACTAACCACCTCAATCCCTGCCATGGTAGATGCTTTTGAGCCTGAAACCAAGACTCCACAGCTCTCATTCTTGGCATCATGGATAAAAATAGGAGAACTTGATATTTCATGGTTAATAGAAATTGTTATCTCTTTGTACAACTCTTGCACCATCTCTTCTACCTTTTCTTCTTGAAAACAAAACTTTTCAATTTCTTCTTTGTCAAATTCATCTAAAATCTCTTGAAGCTTCCCTGTTAGAGCTTCTTCTGTAGAGTTTGGAGTCTTATCCATTAAATGCTTAGTGCCAGGAGAGAAGTTAATATAATATATTGATCACACAACTGATATAAGATAGAGACAATTGGATCTGGGATTAATCATGCATTAATAATGAAAGTTTATTTAGTCACACTTATTTATCAAATATATATTAAGGAAACTTCTTAATTTAAAAAATTTCATCCAACGTTTGAATTATATAGGCTATACAGGATCCATGAACCAAGTTTTCTATTTTTTTTTTCTATTACTTTCTAGCGTTTGGGTATGATAACAGTACCCTTTTGGGCCCAACTTTATGTTTTTGAAAGAAATTTATTTTTTTAACGTGAAAAATTCATTTAGAATATTTTTTTATCTTTCAAATTTGTTTTCTTATCATTTTAATACATTAAAAATAGAGAAAAACTTTTTTCAAGAGTTAAATGTATTAAAAAAAAATCATATCTCATTTAATAATTTGGTAAACTTTAACTTCAATAAAAAAAAAATATCAATCCAATACAAATAATATGTTAATCAAAATTATTAGCATTTATTTATATCAAACAAATTAAAATGTAGATAGTAGTTGAGTGAATAATATCTGCTTATTATTTATTATTAAAATCAACATTTAAAAACGATGATAGGTATCTATATTTATCAAGTAAGGATTTCAAAAATAAAATAACAAGGAAAATATTCATTTAAATAAATAATAAATAAAAAATTAGGTATTTGTGCAATTATAAAAGTATTCATATAATTATTAATTATTTTTTATGAAAAAAAACAATTTTTAAAATAATTAAGATATATTTTTTAATACTAAGATATACATTTATAAATAGTTTTTTTAAAATAATTATTTTAAAAAAATATTTGAGTTTAACTTAACAAATACCAAAATAAGATAATTAAAAAGTCAATACACACATAAGTTAAAAAAAAAAAAAGGAAAAGGATTTTATTTAAAAAAAAACTCTTAGATTCATCGGTTGGAAAGAAAACAAAAGCAAAAAAACAATAAATACATTTATATATAGTTTAAAAAAATAATTATTTTCTAAAAATATTTGAGTTTAACTTAATAAATACGAAAATAACATAATTAAAAAGTCAATATACATAAGATAAAAAAAAGGATTTTATTTAAAAAAACAAAAAACTCTTATGTTCATCGAAGGAAAGAAAACAAAAGAAAAAAAAACAGAATAAAAAATATACGTATTCATTTAAGAGAGAAGTGATATGAAAAAAATATTTAAAAATAATAATTAAATAAATTAAATTTAAGTATTTATTAAATTACAAAAATTACTTATATAATTATTAATTAATTTTTTTATGAATAAAATAGTTTTATAATTTAATATCCTTAGATATAATTTAATGAATCAGTATATGTCATATTAAATAAATAAAAATATTATAGTCTAAATTAAATCATATTTGTTTTAACCAGAAATAAAAATAATATTATTTTATTAATATATTTGATAATAAATTTACTTAAAAATTTATTTTTAATATCTACTTAAGATTTAAAATAATTACTATTTTAAATTAATAAATTACTAAAAAAATAATATTGATAATAAATAATAACTTTATAACTCTTATTTTTAAACTTAATGATTCTTGTAATTTATATAATAAATAAAAAATAATTTTATTAATATAATTTAAATTTTAAAAATATTTTTTTTATTTTTTATTTTTATTTAAATATTTTTTAGTTAGTTGTTTTATTATAGACATATTAATATACTTTTTTAAAATTTTCATCAGGTCAAAATTGGCTTATTAGTCCAATTCATCAATATTTTTATTTAAATTATAGAGTTAGGTTAGACTTGCCGGCCAGACACCCATTTTAACTGTCTTGCTCATTTATTTCCAATTATATATATTTTAACATAATTATAAAATATTTTTTATTATAAAGTTATATTTTTTAAAAGTATTCAATTTTAAAATAATAAAATAATATCACATATTATATATATATATATATATATATATATTATTTTTAGATTTACTTTCTTTCTTTATTTTCTTTACAAAATATAATTGTACAAATTGTATATTATTTGATTAGGATTTGATATAATTGTAAAATATTTTAATTTACTAGTAACCTAATTAGATACACATAATTTAGTACAACATTATTTAACAAACATATTAAAGTGGATAGATTCTTTATCAAGTAAAAGTTAGAAGAAAAAAATTGTAGAATTACCTACGATTCACTCAAAAGATCAATTAGCTCATATCTTATCTCAAATAAATTATTCTCAAAATGTTGTCAAGTGGTCATATGAGATTTATGTGAGAAGAGAAGTCACATGAAAATTATATGTTAGTGCTTACTTTTCCGATTATAAAAGGGACATCATGTTTACTTTATAAATCACTCCAAATCTATTTCTTCTCCTTTAGTGCATTGCATAATAGTTGAATTATCTTATTTACGAGAGGGATTATTATTATTATTTTCTCCTTAGATTTAAAGAAGGTATTATAATTTCTTTCGATAGTAAAATATTTCTGATTGTAAAATCCTTATTTCTTCACTGCAGATTCTTGTGTCATTTTCTTGCAAAGATATTAGGTAACTGTGGGAAACTTTCAAATGAGTAATGCTTACAATTAGATTATTCACACAAATTCTTCGATGACTTATTGGTTGTCTTGCTTGAGGAATAGTTTCACGAAAATGGAGACGAATCGGAATAACGTCCGATCTTGTTTCTGGATTGAGTATAAAAGGGATATATGAAGTTCGTTACGTTCCTTTGTGCATCTCTGTGATGGGAAATCTGCATTAAAAAGGGGCAACTTTCATGTAGTTTGTTCCTATTTTTTCTCAGAGAAATCTTTCTCTTAATAGATTTCTTCTTAATAGAACTTAATGTTGTATTATTGTAAGTTCTCTATTTCAAACATTTCCTGAGAGTAGACGACAAGTTTTAAATCGCATATCTTACCATCGTTAAATCAGTCTGATTCGCCACATCGCATATAAAGGGAATTAAAGCTCGTTCTTATAGAATAAAAATTTCCTTACTAATGAAATAATGGTACCCTTAACAATTTGTTTATCTCTGTTACCTGTGTGTTATTATACCCACAAACTCTATGCACAAAAATACATATGAGTCTGTCCACCATTCTTTATCTCGCGTCTTAGCTTGCATGCGCTCTCATCCATGTCCTAGGTGGCAGAGTGTTGATCCTCACCTGCCCGTAGGGGCACTCTTTCGACTAACAGCCGGAAGGTTGCAGATTGCCAACCCCCAGTTTGTAGGTCGTCAAGCATTTGATGTAGTATTTGATAGGACTCCCCCCGTGTGGCGGTACGCGGATTATCCAAGGCACGCGCCCTCCATCCCATCCAATCCCTATTTGGGTGAATACCCACCATGACCCGTATGATATCCACCTTGACCTCAAATAGGTCTTCAGCTTGAATCTGGGCAATATGTATCTCATGGGCGGAAGGAGAGAAGAATCTCCCCAAAAGGCTCGGCTCAATGGATTCCACACTATCTCCCCCTATGATTTCATTTTCTTGATAAGGATAGGGGACGACAAGGTGAGCCTGATTAGCATCTTCCTGCATAACAGGAAGAGCGGGAGGCATAACTTGTTCCCCTGGAAGCGGTTGATTAACCGCTAAGGTACTACTAAGCTCGAAACTTGCTAACTCTTCTAGCATATCTGAAGTATAGTAAACAAATCCGAATGGAAAAGAATGACGGCAAAATCCTCATCGGCGCAAAAACATACGTCTAGCCCACCAAATATAAGTGGTTGGTTTCTTATTTATGATATGATATTATTCCACTGCTATAGTCATTAGAATAGTGTTATAGAAATTTCTTAGTATGCTTTGTGGTTGTGGTTAATCTGATCTTCCACATCAGAAAAGAGTTATCCTAGTTACTGGATATAAAGTGTGATAGTGCATGTCAAAGAAAATTTTTGGCAATAAAAGACTTGGTATTTAAGTGTGTCTATTAGTGACCCACCTCTCTTTCTTGGGAGCTTACCTAGTGTACTAGTTATAGTTTACGTTGTTGCTTCAGTAGACAATACTATTTATAGTGAAATGTACATAAGTCGGTTAAAACCATGACAACAAAATATGAGATAGAGAAATTTAATAAGAATAATTTCTCATTATGAAAATTGAAGAAGAAGACAGTTTTTATGGGCATCACATATTCAAGGTGGGAAGAGTACAACGAAGGAGATTTGGGAGTCCCTCGTCAAATTGTATATGGAAGAAACACATATTGGACTTGGTTTATTATGATGTGTTGGAATCGCTAATATTATCTCTAGGAGGGGCCAAATATTTTGTGTCAGTGATGATAATGATTACTCTAGGAGATTATGGGTGTACTGTATCAAGAGCAAATCTATGTTTTCAAAGTTCGGGAAAGACAAATTCTTGGACTACACTAACAATGTAAAGGGGTATTTCCCCACTATCCACAAGGTTATTGTTTACGGGTGGTACAAATATTATTTTTCTTCAAGGTGAACTTAGAGGAATTATTGGTGTGCTCCAACTAGAGAAGACTTAAAGAAAAAGGAAATTTGGTTTGTAGGTTGACCAAATCTCTATACAGTTTAAACTAGGTGCCCAAGTGTTAATATAAGATATTTGATTTTTCATAATTGGTTTTGATTACAACAGACTAAGTTCAAATTATTGTACTTATCACAATAGATTTGATGTTAATGATTTTATCATTTTGTCATTGTATGTAAATGACATGTTGGTGGTAGGCTCCAATAATGTTCGAATCCAGGTTTTGAAGGCACAATTAGCTAGGAAGTCTGATATGAAAAACTAGAGACCAACAAACAAGATTTTAGGGATGCAAATTCACCAAGGCAGAAAAGATAGAAAGGTATGCTTTATCAGAAGAATTACTTACTGAATGTCTTGTAGTGCTTCAACATGCAAAGGTATAAGCCACCAGTTTCTACCCCAGTTTCTATTAAGTTATCCTTAAGTATTAGTCCTAGCAATAAAGTATGAAGGATAAAAATGTCTCGAATACTATATGCATTGACGGTGAGAAGTCTTATGAATACCATGATCGGTACAAGACCAAACATTGCACAAGCAGTGGGAACGGTTAGTAGATCAATGACAAATTGTGGTGGAGAGCATGAGTATTATCAAGATAATTCTTATCAAAGGAACCTTAGATGTTGTATTATGTTTTGGAGGATTAAAACTAGTTGTCAAATGCTATATTTGTTCAAGTTTTGCAGGTGATCTTGATAAGTTTACCTTTGTTTAGGAGAGACAATAATTGATTATCTAAGTTATAGGATGTTGTAGCTCTATCTATTATAGAAATTGAGTACATAACAAATGTTATGACAATCAGTTAGTAGTGACTAGTTTACATAGAGGCGATCATATTGGAGGTTTATTACAATAACAACATAGAAGATATTAATAATTTATTGTGACGATTTGATTAATTTAATCAAAATTTTCAATTGAGAGATTATGAGAATGTGAGATTTGAAAAGAGAAATCCTATATCAGGGAAATTATATGTTGGTGCTTAATTTTCATGTTATAAAAGGAGCATCATGTCTATCTTGTAAATCATCCCAAATCTCTTTCTTCTCTTTTCTACTAGTGCATTGCATAGTAATTGAGTTCTCTTATTTCTGAGAGATAATATTATTATTGTTTTCTCCTTAGATTTAAAGAGAGTATTATAATTTCTTTCAATAATTCTATTATTGTCTATTGTCGATTTTTTTTTCTCATTTTTTATTGTAGTTGTGAATTCTTATGTAGTTATTCTAATTCTTAACAATTTATATCTACAACTTGAGAGGAAGGGTTGAGATTTACTTTCTTTTATTATTCTCTTTAAATATCATTATATAAATTATATATTATTTGATTAAGATTTGATATAATTATAAAATATTTTAATTTCTTAATAATATAATTAGATATACATATTTTGTATGTTATAAATAAGTTATATATATTTTATTTGATAATAGATGATGATTTTTATTTTCTGTGCATATTTCTCTTATTTTTCACTCTCTATTTTCCTTGTAAATGAACACAGCCTAAAAGTTAAAATTACATCATCAACGCACTTCTATATTACAAGATGATATTGGTTAGTAATTACTAAGTGCCTGATAGTTTTCAAGATTTTAATCATTTTATTATAGTAAACACATGCATCCATATTTTTTAAAAACTTCATTAGGAATACTAAGAGTATATGTGATCGGCGTATCCAAATATTAAGCATCATTCCAAAAATTTATATCTTTACTATTACCCAATACCTAATTTGATAGTTTTTCTGGTTTATTTTTTAATAGGTGCAATGAAGAAATAAGATTGTAAAGTTTACTTATTAGTTAAAAGTATGACCCTTGTTGTCAAATCAGTCAATTGAAAGTCCTATATTTGTATAGTTTTATTATTTTTATTCAAATTAAACAAAAATATTAATTCGATACGTCCATTCACCTTTGAAGAACATACTTTTTTTCTATGTAAGCTTTATCAAATTTCTCTTGTTAACATCTTGACCATATGAAATGAAAGTAATAACTTACATTTCTATACACAAAACTTAGAGCACTATAAGAAAATAGGAAATTACCAATACAAAATATTTCGTTGAAAAATTTATATTACCGATTGATTTTTTTTGTCGGTAATGTTTTGGGTGCATATAATTTTTTTTCTTTCTTTCCATTATTGAAAGATGTATTAGATCATAAAATCCATTAAAAAATTACTTAGTATTAAAAAAATTAATTAATTATCATAATTCATCCATAAATTAAAATATCTATAGATTATTTAAATGTTTAATACTTCTTCTAAAGATAATCGGTGAAAATTAATATAAATAATTTTAATATAATTAAATCTTTTTATTAAATTATTTATCATAAATTTATATATATATATATATATATATATATATATATATTATTTTAAATTACATATTATAATATGTATTTAAGATTTAAGATTTTTCTTTTTTATTATAATTTATAATTCTAAATAACTAGTGTCCTGCGTAAAATTGTTGTTAAATTTTTTAATTTATTTTAGCTCTTTATAAAATTAAAATAAATAAATGGATATTTAGTTGATAATATTAATTTATTATTTATTTAAATAATTAATATTAAATTATAAATTATCTAATAAACAAATATTAAATATTAGTTTTTAATGAACAAATATTAATCTTTTCCTATTTAATTATAAATATTAACATATTAATATATATGTGTGCTTCTCTAGCCAATATTTCATATAAAAGTTTAAATCAATTCTTAGTTTACAAATATAATTTAAAAATATAGGCATGTTTGAATTGTATAAGTAACTATGGTAGCCACAGGTTGTATATTTTGAGTAATTGTAACATTAATTGGTAGGAAAAATCAAAAAATTAGTTTTAGAGAAATAATTCAAACAAGTAATTTTTTTAAGGAATTATAAAATATTTTTTAATAAAATTTTAATTTTTTTTTTTAACAACGTGGTCCCTGCCAATCCCCTCTTTCCTCTGCCTTTGTTTGTATGATTTGTATTTATTGGAATCAATTTGTGACTTAACTTATTGTTTTATTTGAAGAAAAAAATTGCAACATGTTAAAGGTGTAACTTCTATACCTTGCGTTTTATCTTCATTTTATTTTTTGTTAAATACCATTTTATGTTTATTGATGATGAAATATCAAAGAATTGTAAGTTTAAAATAGAATATTTGTTGAATTTTCAAGTAATTCAGAGTATAAGGGCTTTTTAAACTAGTTTTTGCTTGTGTGAATTTAATTATTTTTTCATTGCATTTCATTCTCCTATTTTTATATATATAGTTGTAAAATAGGTTAGATGCATGTTACAATTTGTATTTTGCAAAGACATTGATGATAAAATTTTCTCACTAAAAGATCCATCAATAAATCATAAATAAAATAAATGAATTTTATCAATAGATTAAATTTATCAGTATTTAATGATGGTCATTATTACCTAAATGATATATCTATAAGTAATTATTAATTAATATAAAATATGTGTTGATAAATTTTATCGTTAATGTAAATTTTAATAAATTTTTGTCCATCAATAATTTGTTGATAATCAATCATTATCAACGATTTTTTTACGTTATTAGTGGATTTTCTTTGTCGATAATCAATCATTATAAATGAATTTTTTTTTATCTAAACAACACTTATGCCATTGATAATACTTATCGCTTTAATAAATATGGATTGTTGTGATAATAGAATTTTGAGTGCAACAAAAACAAGTTTGTCTACTTACACATTAACAACAATTTTAAAGTTGAAACTTTTTAAGACAATTGAATGAAATCTTGAACTCTATTATCACCATGAAATTAAAATGGTACAACAATGACTTGGGATAACCATTATATCTTAAAAATAATAAGAGTATTAATAGATTTTATCTTTGAAGAAACACAGAATAACCATTATTAAGAAAAAGATTCCAACAGACAGTGTTCTAGATACTGTGAACAAGAACAATGACTTGGGATATTGGAAATGAGAAAGAATTAAAAAATGGTATATTTCATCGCCGAATTTTTTGTTGTGTTGTTGGGAAGAGAAGGTTTAATTGTCAAATATATATATATATATATATATATATAT